ATATATATGCGTTACACATTTTTCAATAAGTCTAAATGACAAACTATTTATATTGTCTTGTAGAATGCTATCTATTTGCATGCGATAGGTACATAAAATCACGCACTGAACTCATGCATTTCTTATTACCATTCTAGCCTCGAATTGTTTAATATAAAATTTTACGTAAAAACTCTAGTGAAATAGATGCAAATACTATAAGCATAACGAATATGAATGTTATCCTAGTATTCTGAAAAACCATAACAAATTAAAAATTATTCTATTATTCCGGAAACACTAATGATTCTGATCTGAATAGCACACAAATTATCATCCAATCTCATATTTACATTCTCACGTTCTCTGCAATGTTTTTTTAACAAAAAACTAGGAAAAACCGCAGATCTAGTTTAATAAATTGTTGTAAAATTATACAAAGTTGCGGCATAATTACGTGGTGGTTGTCAGATGGTCGCGGTCGAGGCTAATTAGATATCCGTCGATATTAAAATGTAAGAAGGCGTTGCCGATCCTGAGTATCCTAAACTATATCTGCCTGTCCCTGAACCTGTAAAAGAACGCCTTCTGCTGTCGCTAAGCATATATAAGATAGACGGCGTTGTATCACAATGCACAGTGTTAGATTACTACCTCGGCGACGACAATCTACCATCGTCTGCCCGGCGCTTGCTTCCACAGTTGTTCCTCGCAATTCATACACTGAACCTCTCGGCTCATTGTCTCATCCGAAGCTCTAGCAAGCAAGAAGTGCGATAAAATACGTCCTAATCATTTCGCCATGGAGAACACACGCCCGTCAAATTTGATCGATCTAACGCGCATCGACAACAACAAGACCATCGCCACCAGTTTCGTAAAAGATGTGCCGAAGATTACGAGATACTCGGTAAGATGTTAGGCAACAAACTAAACGAAATGTATGAAAATCGAACTGCTGCGTACTAAATTTCACGTGAATAAAACATGACATGAGATGCTTCAGAACGATATTCGGAACCAAAACATTCCCGAAAGATTGTTTTTTGAAAATTTGAAACACAAGGACATATTCTTAAATTCTTGAATCAAATATCATTGTTTTGCAGCTATCGTGGATAAATAGACGATTTATGAAAAATTATGATCCAGTGTAATTTCACCTTGCGACTGCAATTCTTCGTTATTTAAATTGTTATATATTCACAGTTAATATACTTTTTGTTTGTTTAAGAATTCACTGTTTATTTCGCGGAAATTATTTTCGCATGTGCTAAAATTTGATCAAATCAAAATTATTACGCTTTTAATTTTTTATTCAAATTTAGAACAACTTTCCTTCGAAGTAAACTGTAATTTTCCGCAGAAGAATAGAATGTATCTTTGATTTGATCGTACGATGTACAGGCAAATCTGTTCTGACGTAATGATCTAATCGTTTTCTCACTGTAATTGTAAGAAATCAGACGTTATCACATAGAATATTTAATTATACTGAAAGATGGTATGTACGATCATAGGAGAGGATGCCGTCCCCTTGATATGACGTAACTCGAAAACAATGATAAAGCGATGACAAAGGTGTATCCTCACAGTTTATCCTTTCAGAAACATAATGACGCATAATTCTCAGGTTATACCGATAGTCTTTGTGACAAATATTATCAGTACATTAAGTGGTTGTTATCTTCAAAATGAGTTATTAGAGGAAGGACGTTTTAAACTGTACGTGAACAATAACGGGATACTGCTCAAGGCGAAGAAGTTTTACACTTTGCAAGGATTCATTCAGTATTCAACAACATGTCGCGATGTTGCTAAGAATATAAACATCTCAATCGAACGATTTATCTTAAAAATTCCATTTTTCACAAAATATCTTACTTTTTCAGAGATTCTTTAGTATTATTTTAGTCTTTTGTGTCGTTTGGGAAATTCGTGTCAAAACGCACGTCGTATGTGCTCGCAGACGGTCTTATTAACGCTTATAAATCACTACTTAGAAGTAGATCAATGACGAATTAGCACTTGGGTGACGTTGACCGCGCAATAGCCGATTGCGATAAAACGCATTAAATAAATGAGAATGTCTCACGCGTATCAACGCGACGTTTGGTGCAAGCCGAGAACGCTCTGAGGCATCATTCCCATGAGAGTCTCCTCCGAATCCCCGACCCAGGAATTATGTCACAGCGTTCCGCGCATATTACGCTATATTTGCATTTCCTATTGTCTGAATTGCGCAACGCGTAATATCCTAGTCAACTATGAGCACCCTACCAAGGTACAGTTCGCTCTAATTGAAATATTAACACATATCTATTATCAAAGAAAAAGGCATTTAATGCCAATGGTTTATCCAATTAATTCAAATTCAAGATGTTAATCTACGTATAAAAAAAATATTAATAAATATGATTGCAAATTGTGTTTGTAGTTATTTTATAAAAATTCTCACTAAAAAAAATTGCATTGTATTGTAATATTGTTGTCTTCTCTTCTCCGTATTAAATTCTCGGAAAGTCTGCTGATTACGAATTCCTTAATTTAGCTTATTTTGTTATTTCAGTTGGCCGATTCGGCTGACGGAACAAACGGCGGTATGGACTATCATGTCGAGATAATCAATAAGGATGATAAATTAAGGGTGCTGAAATTCCTGAGAAGATACTTCTTCAGAGACGAACCACTCAATCAGAGCATTCAACTAATTCCAGAGGGTGAAGATAGTACCTGCCTGGAGCTCGAGGACTACTGCAGCCATGCATCACTCGAAAACAACTTGAGTTTGATGGCAGTTTCCACGAGCGGTGCAATTATTGGAGTTCTGCTTAATGGTAAAATTTTAAAAGGCAATTTTTTAATTTTATAAATACACTGTAAATTTATATAAAATATTATTTTTGTATCGTTTTAGCAATATAAATTTTAATTAAAAATATGGCTTCAATATATAACAAATATTCGCTGTTGCTCTTGTTAATTTGATTCTCAAAAACAAAAAAAGTATTAATATATCTGTTCGATACGTTACAATATTGTTATATATATAAGAAATAAATGCGTTTATATTTATCGTATGTATATCTATCTTTTAACACGCACATATCTTGAGCAGATGCAAAAATTGTCAGTTAATTTGATATTTGCTATACAGATACTTTAAGTGTTCACAGAAGAAAAAAACAAAAGAAATGCAACGATATTGTTTGATGTTACGTAAAGTATTATTATGGATCTCGAATATTATCTTGTAAATTATTATCCGACCAGTGATTTAAAGAAGATAATTGCATCATAGATTCTTTGCTGATAAATATGTATCTACATTTAAATGCGCGTAAGGCACACAAACAAGTTTGCGCGAAAATTAAAATAAATTAAATTGTTACGTGAGTCATGTAACGTTGTCACACAAAAAATATTAATCAGAAATTTATATAATATTGAGGAATAATAAATAATTGTAAATCGATACAAAAGCAGCAAGTATTAAAGCCAATATTTTTAATTAAAATTTATGTTATTAATAAAAATATTTTTAAATAAATTTAAAATGTATTTATAAAAAGATTTAAAAAGTATACCTACAAATTAAAAAATATTGTAAAGATGTTATAATATAATTATATATATTACACTTTAAACAAAGATTAATTGGATCTATTCAGATATCTTTTAGTCTCTCAATGTACAAAGTTATTAATCTCATTACGATTCGCAGAAAAAAGAAGGCATCGTATAACACTTCCACAAGAGTCGAGAAATATAACTTTTATGTGATATGCACGTACCGTTCATTTGTCGCACTAGTTATGTAATTGTTAATTTAATTCATGACTTGTCTGGTAATTAATAGCTGTCATTATAGTAATAGGCAAATGCGCCGTAAGACGCGCGGCCACATGGAGATATATGCATACACGAGATCGTATCTATTAAAACAATCTCTCAACTTTATTTTTCTCATAAAAGGATTAAAATCAAATCAACACTGAAAAAAAAAAATAAAAAAAATTACAGCTGTTCGAAACGCAACAAATAGCAATAACTGCAAATGACTTACATAATCGCGAAAAAGGATAGCTTTAATCAATCATCATAACTGAACAGTTACATATTAACATCTAAACGACAACAGCAATTTCTACCTAAGTGACACATATTGTAAACATTGGCTATTACACATAATTTAACATAAATTAGTTGTGTATTACATTACGAGTAGATACGAATTTGTTAGCTCTTTTATCTTTTCACCACAGGTAAAATGGATCCCCCGTCGTGCGAGGAGTCGGAATACATACGATCGTGTAAAAATGCAAAATTTAAGAAGATACTGAGATTATTGCATTACATAGACAAGAACGTGAACGCGGATGGACAGTTTCGGGATTCGAACGTCTTGGAAATCAGAATAATTTCTGTAGACACAAATTGGAGAGGGAAAGGCGTTGCGAAGATTCTCATAGAAAAGACGATGTAAGTATACTCTTAATGATGCGTTTTTAGAAAGATTAATACGAGCCATATATTTTTTATCTATCCACATTGCAGAGAAATTGCGAAAGAACAAGGATTTCATTACGTCAGAGCGGACTGTACGTCCTTATTCTCTGGTAAGCTCTGCGCACGATTTGGCTTTGATGCAATATATAAGCTCTCTTATACCGATTACGTGGATGAGAATGGAAAACCTATCTTTTCGCCCGCCTTACCTCACACGGCAGCTATCACTTATGTGAAGAAACTGTGAAGATCGCAAGAGATAAAAGAAAAATTGGATTTTTCGGATTTAGAACGAACAAAAGTAAGATTTGGCAAAGATAAGATAAATAATATTAAAGATGCATAACTAATGCAATAGTGATATTTGTTCCCTGAAGAAAACAAGAAATATATTTTATAAATTATTGTATAGTGTCCACGTAGAAATGTTATTTTTATAAGTTTAATATTGTCATAATTATTTCAAAAAGTATGTCATCTGAGATGGCAAAAAGTTTAAGTTTATAATGCGTGTGAAAAAGTATACTATTGGTAAACTTATGCTCATGTAAAAATCGTGCAAATATATGTATATTTATGTGTATAAGTTATTTAAGTATATAATTTTAATATAATTTAGTTTTATATTATGTAATATCATTAAATTTTATTATCATAAAATATCAAATTGTTATTATTATCAAAATAATTTCATAAAAAATATAAAATTTTATAGGAATTTTAAAGCATAAATTGATGTGTAAACTAGAAGTAGTATTCTATGTTTTTAGAGCTTTTATATATTTAATATAATGTACAATGTTTTAAAAATTTTGTAATTTCATACAATTACAAATATAACATTTTATCCCACCCAAAAATATATAAATAGAAATAATATTTATATTCATTATAATAAAAAGAAATAGGATGTCAAGAAAGTGCATGAGGTAAGAAAAATACTAATGTTTCGAAAATAACTGACGCTTCTTTTAATTTCTGATAAAATTTTTGCTAACGTTCACTATTATCTCTAGCCAGATAGTCATTAAGATCCTTTATGGAATTAAGATTCTCTATGACTAGACTATTGGATTTAGTACGTGCTACACCTCGAATCCGTTGGTATTCCTGTTCTAATTGAGCATCGTGTAAACGCACAATATTTCTTACTCTCATAGAATGAAACATAAAAAAGGCTGGTACTAATCCTAACCCGAACAATAAAAGAGCTATTACGAGCCCGAAATATGCATTTGGCTTTTGCTGAGGTGGTGGCCATGGTCCGCCTGCTGTACGTACTTCATATTCCCATTGACTTCCATATTGCCTACATATAATAACACATTATATTCATCGATTGCATTATATTTTTTATAAATAATTATGCAATATAGAATCAATTATAAAAATAAATCTCTTATATACAGTCTTAAGAGAAATATACACTTGTTCCATTTCAACAAAGTCAATATATTGCATTATCTTACATCCTCTGTGAAGTATATGTATAAGATGGGCTGTATTTATGACACTTCAAATTGAAATCATATTGACGTCTTGTACTTTCTTTCCCCAGAATCGAATAGGCTTCATTTAATTTCACAAAATCAGCGTGACTGTGTTTTCCACTAGTATCAGGATGCAGCTAGTAAAAGCAAAAGCGCAGTTTGCATGACTTAAGAGTTTTAAAAGTGAAAATTGAAGAAGTGTATTGTTTATAATCATTATGTTGCAGAATAAAGACTTACATGTCTTGCATACATAAAAGTTATCTGAAACGTTACATACTTGTTTTGATAATCTGAGGAAAGCTCGTTTAATTTCTTTCTGTGATGCATCAGGTGAAACATTTAAAGTCTCATAATGATTTTGTTGGTACCTTTAACAAAAAGATGCTACATTGAGAGTGCAAGATCTTTTTTAGTAGTATCAGATTCTACATTGAGAATAAAATAACGTTCTCAGCATATTTGGAGGAAAACAAAAAGAAGAAAAAATTTGTAAGAATATACAGAAAATGCCATGAAAAAGAATGAATCTATCGTTTAACAATAACTGATGAAGCAAGTTTCTAACCTTTGAGTGCTATAACTTCTAATTGCACAACAGATTTCTGGCTTGCATACTCTAAGAAGTTGTGCCATTACTTATCAATGCACTATCTTTCGATGCAGCAATTATTTCGCAAAACCGAAACATTTTGCGCATTAACGCATTTATTTGTCAAATGCATGCCATTTTCCACACAATAATAACATTCCACTAACATGTATTATCAACTTTCTAAGAGATGTCACTACTTGCACGAATAAAGTAGATTTCTTCCTATTCCACGTTCGATATTTATACTACTTTAGCGACCGCTCCCCTAAAAAGTCGATGTAGTTACTGAATTGAAATTTGTATGCGCTGTATTCAACTCTGACATCATTGATAGTGAGAAAGTGGGCGCTACCGGCGAGCCAAGTCTTGATTGGCTGTCAAAAGTTGTTTACGTTAGGAAAACGCGGTTCAAAAGTTGATACAGCGATCGAGGCGAGACGCGGATATTTTCAGTATTTATGATCCGTATTCCTCGCGACCGAGCTTCACAATGGTGCGATATGCCGCCCTTAAAGGATTGTACGAGCTGGAGAAGACGATCGGCAGTGGTGGCTTTGCCAAAGTCAAACTGGCGACTCATGTCGCTACCGGCGAAAAGGTTGCCATTAAGATTATGGAGAAGACGACATTGGGTGTAAGAAAGATTTTAAGTGTCAAAATTATTTTCTATTGTGTTAAGAGTACCATAATTTTTACTATTATTTTTAATTATTTTGTTATTTTCAATTTTAATTTTCATGCAGAAACTGCAATTTTTCTCTTGTCAACCAAAATTTTTCCATGATTTTTTACATTCTTCATCTATTTCAACTATTAAAATGTATTTATCCTGCAATATTTATTTCAGGAAGATTTACCAAGGGTGAAGCTTGAAGTGGAAGCCCTTAAGACATTGTTGCATCAACATATCTGCAGACTGTATCAAGTGATAGAAACCGAGAGTCATTATTTCATGGTAATAGAATATTGTTCTGGTGGAGAACTATTCGACCACATAGGTAATATTGAATATGATATCTCTAAGGAACTTCTTATTGTGTTTATAAGTCATAAGTCTTAATATTACATCCTTGTATTACAGTTGAGAAAAACAGATTGTCGGAAACTGACTCTCGCAAGTTCTTTCGCCAGATAGTTTCTGCAGTGGCATATATGCACAGTTTGGGTTATGCTCATAGAGACTTAAAGCCTGTAAATTTATATATAAATTTTCTATCTCATAATCCTCATTATCTGAATTGGATTAATTAAGTTATTTTCTTCTTTTAACAGGAAAATGTCTTGCTAGATAAAGATGAAAATTTAAAATTAATTGATTTTGGGCTGTGCGCCAAACCCAAGATGGGAATGCAGGCACATTTATATACTTCTTGTGGTTCTCCTACGTATGCTGCACCAGAACTCATAATGGGAAAGAAATATTTAGGTACGTTAGCTTTTGGAATTTTATTTGTTTGAACATTTTATGTAATTTATGCTCAATGTATAAATTTTTTTGCAGGCTCTGAAGTGGACATTTGGAGTATGGGAGTTCTCCTTTATGCTTTACTATGTGGCTTTTTGCCTTTTGATGACAATAATTTAGAGAATTTATATAGAAAGATACTTGTAAGTATTTCAAATGTCTGTATATTATTACATAAATACATAAGCATTATTTCAGACTGGCAGATATGAGGAACCGTATTGGTTGTCTGATGACAGTAAAACATTAATCAGGTTGATGTTACAAATTGATCCGGCCAAGAGAATTACTATTCAGGAATTATGTAATCATCCCTGGATCAGAACAAATTTTCTGAGGCCTGTATCATTCATTCATAGAACAAAAGTAAGCATTTTCTATGACAAAAATGATTTTATGAATCTAAATTCTTCATTAAAAATATGAATTTTTTCTATGAACATCTAGTTCGAAAAAGACGATGAAGTATTGAGTACTATGTCCGCTATTTCTGGTAATAATAGTACAGACATATGGAAGAAGCTTATGCAGAGCGATAGAACCGATTACAGAACAGCTACATATCTATTGTTGCTTGACAGAAAATTACGTGGACTTTCGTTGAAAATAGCACCTGTAATGAAGCCGTACTTTAAGCAAGGAATTGTAGGTCTTTTTTTGTATTGATATTTGATATTGATATTTTTGAATATGATATATGATTTAATTATATAAATTTTTATCTCATGTAGAATGGCATAAATTTTCCACAACGCGAAGCAAAAGTTAACAATTTTATAACGAAACTGGACCACTCGCCAAGGAGCAAAGTAAATAATGGACAATCTCCAGTGATTGATATGACTTACAATGTTTTGCCTAACGAAAATGACGAAAATAAGTTCACAGAACCATGTGCGCCAGTAAGGAAAAGACTACGAAGCAAAGAATCTGATGATGTATCATCTCCCGGTGAATATTTCATCATCTCTACAATATTCTAATCCTTTCCCCTTCAGTTTCATTTCTTATCAAGAAAAATATCTGTATTTTTGATAAATTCTTTTGATACGTTTTGTTCTGTCTTCAGGAATGTTTCACATATTTCTAAGCTCAAGTTTTATGGTCATTAGATTTCAAAGGTTTTTACATACAACTATTTATCGAACGCGTTGCAACCACATTTAGTCTCGTAGTTTATTTTCTAAAGTTCACTTCTAATTAGGTGATGCCAGCACCACCTAATTAGAAACTTTAATGAAAGTTCCCGACTGCCGTAAATTACAGTGGTCGCGCGAAAAGCGGATAATTACCTCGAGAAGAGCAACGGCTTGCTAACAAACGCAATTTGGGCTTAAGAATCCCCATATACAAGAATTCTTTTCCAAAACTTCTTAGAAGATACATTCCTTAAGCATTCTCGCATTTATACCCTTTCTATCCAGAAGAATATTAAACCTTTCAGTAATCCTATCTATTTTATACTTTACTAATAATTTATCAATGATGCTTAAGTTATGTTATAATTTTTTAAAAATAATTTTATTGCAGTTCCAATCAAAAGACCACCCGAAAATAGATCAGTTACTACTCCAACGCAATCCTCAACGCCAGATTCAAAGTAAATTTGTGAATTGATATAAAAATATATATAATACGATAGATGTAATTGTTCAAAAAATGTAATATTTTTAGACATGTACAAACATCTACACCTGGTAGTGCAAGAAAAGTTATGCTGGGTTTAGAGCGAGGATTGAATCGAGTGAGACATGTTTTAACGCCAAAAAGGCGAATGAAAAATGAAAATATGGATTCTGATGAACCAAACGTACTATCAGGAAAGGTATACACCTTAATCCAAAGACAACTCTTGAAAACTGAAGATATTGTTAGAAGACTAGTTGCTAATAAATTTTATTCCATTTCTAAAGGGTCTTTCTAACGTATCGGCAACGTGCAGTGGTTGTCCAAAGCATGTTCTCTCAAAACTACGAAGAGCGCTTCGACAAAAGGGTATAATGTGCCGTCAAAAAGGGTAATTATCTATTTTTTTTAACGCTTTTAACGCTATTAACAATTCTGTCTGCAATTGTGTTATTAAAAATCAATCTACCATAGATACATTCTACAAGGAGAAACTGAGGAATCCTTTTCGGAAGACAAGAAACATTCGTCGAAGTCGATTTCGGCTCAAAATACCTGTTCTTTCGAACTCGAGGTCTGTCTATTAGAGATTGGTCCAAACGGTAAGCGATTAGTGGGCATTCGTCGAAAAAGACTAAAGGGCGACGCATGGGTCTATAAACGCGTCTGTGAGGAAATCCTCGCTTTGACAGTAGAGGATATTTCAATAGATCCGGAAGGATCTTCCGAGTCCAAGTGTCCTATTTAAAATAGTTGTCATAGCTATATATATTTACGATGTAGATTTCTTGATATGTGTTTAATAATCTGATGAGATTAATAATGATAATAACGTGGTGAAAGAAGCTAGCATGTGTCTTGATCTCTTGATAGCCAATAGTATGAAGATTTATGTTTCATAAAAAAAGAAAAAAAAGAAAAAAAACGACTATATGTGCAACGGATAGTGTAAGCCTTAAAAATATGCAATTTCTAACTACTCAAATGTTAAAAATGTAACTACTGTGAAGAAATTATTTTGATGTAATGTACATTTATTTTCCAGAGATAGTTATATAGATTAAACGTCAGATTTATGAAAAGATCTAAATATTCCTGAGGTACGGGTTGTAATTATGTAAGAAAATATGGTAATATAATAACGTTTATGCAAATTATAATTTAATAAATTTATACTGCATTATATCTATTATTCTTTGTTGTTTATATAAAAAAATAAAAGAACAACCATAAGATAATATAATCCATTTAATAAAGAATGTAGTATCATTTCCTGACATATTTTAATATCAGAAAAAAATTATTATTAAATTCTTTCATTCTATGTATCATGGAATGTCGGTATTGATCTCAAGAATGTTATAGAGCGATCGATTATACTCTATAGACAGCACAAAGAAATTTCCTGCGCGAGGAGCAGTTTGAGCCTCGCTCGCCCTTTTCTGTCCGGAATATGTAAAGCTCAATTTCGCGTTTATACCACAGATATAAAGTATCGCGGCCCGTTTGAACCGGTCCGCATCTCCGCCGCCGGCCGGTATAGAACTATAGACAGGCGAAGATATAAAATCACCACAAATCGATCAGCATAAAGTGGAGCCGCGCGTACACTTCACTTCATGCTTTATGGGAGAAGGCGAACCGACCTTTTATCTTTGCCCGCTCAATAATCGCTGGGTCTTTTCCCCGTAGGTACGTATCCCTCTCTCGCGCGCGCAAACCCGTCCCGACGTAGTTCGATCGGCCGTCGTTTTTTCTCTCGTGTCGATTCGGTGCCGAGGCAAGACAAAGCCCGGTTGCTGCGGCCTACCTCGCAATCGCTATACTTGCAATGCGTGCGCTCAAAAAATGTACAGGATTCTTCTCCTTTGTGGATATCCCTTTCTATCAAGACACGATTTTTCTTTTTGCCATTACGTTTCTAAAGAAAAAGTTGCCTGCAGATTTGAAATGTAACACGATACAAAACTACCGATAACTACGATATCTTTCAAAAATCTCTGCGTTAACTGAAATAGAATAATGAAAAAAAAATTGGTAGAATAGTAATATGTTTAAAATAAAAAGAAGAAGCAGAAGGAAAAAATTGACTGTGGAATCGCAGGAAGTAACGTCAAATGTAATCAAGATAAGCCGATGATTAATTAAAGGTTACATTATAGAATTAATCTAAAAGCAGAAACAACACGAAAGTTTCTTGTAAACGAAGTTCACGACATAAATTTCTAAGTCGGCCAAGTATAAATTACAATTAACGCGTATAAGCACGTGCATTAAATATTGCTATCCTCTCAATTCATCTTTAAGTCGAAAGAACTGAAGCGAAACACGAGAGTATATGAATATCTAATTCGTTTATAAACAAATAATGTTTGCACAAACCATTTCAAAATAATTCTACATTGCACATACCGGTGTATATTCACAGTTGTAGTATTTGATTTTATCTCATAATTTAATTTGATATTTTTTTTTATGTAAATTCAATCGTAAATAGCTCTCTGTTTTTTAAAGATACTATCTTCAAATTGGTGTAATTTGACAAATATGTACAAATTATATGTACAAATTGCGTGACATTAATTTGCCGTTGAATGAATTTCAGTGTACAAGATGGCATTAGCACAGCCACCGCGCACGAGGATGAACGTTACTACCCGCGTACTACCTCGTTCTCGCCGATATATCGGCTGTCCAACACCGGTTCGTACCAATTACCGTCTGGCCGGCGGTTAATTAAGGATTGGGGCAATGAGGCCCGGCGATACAGTTTCCGCGATAATGATTATCTGCGACGGTAATTGAGCGAACGGCTATACACTGCGAGGGGAGCGAAGAAGGAAAGAAAGAAAAATGCAAGAGGCGTGAGCAATGAAAAAAGAAATGAACTACATTGTGTCAGATTAAAGATAGTTTCTGTCTTAGTTTATACTTCTCATTTAAATTCTGCTTTCGTTTCTTTAATTGTAAATGTTATCGCGATTTCATGTTTTTTTTTTACATTTTTCTGGAGATATCTTTCTATCTATTCAGAGAATTAGAATTCTAGAATTTTGTTATGCATTAAATGACTACTGCGAGAAAGAGGGAGAAAAAATATGCTTCTTACTGATAGAGGCGGTAAAAACGGTGGATCTTGGAAGGAGAGGAAGAGGGGAAGTCCTTTACCGGCTTGGACTACGAGTCAGGCGAGCTCGCGAGCAAGACGCGTTACCGAGAGGTAAATGTAAGCATACGTACAAAGCCACGCACATACGAGGAGGAGGTAAGGGTGGCACGCGCGGCCCGCTTCTATCGCTTCCGGGCATCAGCGTGCTCGCGAGCCGCGGCTAATTGCTCTTTAATGCAAGCGAACGAGCGAGCAAGCGGACGCGTTGCTTTTCTTGGACGTGTGTCGAGAAAAAGCCAGCTTCGATGATGTTGTTAACGACGAAAATGCCACATAAGCGAGCGATAATTCCGCGTTTAATGTCGCAAAATTGTGAGAAAGTTGCGAAGAGAGCGTTTTGAAGAAATTATTATACACCGTTAAAGAGCTTTGACGAATAAAATTTAATTAATTCTTCTCGTGTCTCCTTTCGCCTCTTGACGGTTAGAAAACTAAGCGTTTTTTTTTTGTACGGCGAAGCGATATAATCGTGGCACTGCGGGTGAAAGTAGTTTCTTCGAGTAATTGTGTTTTCTCGAAACGTAATTTCCTACTTCGAGTCACGTACGATTTTAAAGTGACATTTGTTACAGGCAAAAGAAACGATTTCTTCGCGCTGCTACGATGTGCACACTCTTTTCGCGATATTTTCTTCGAGTAATCAGAAGCCGCGTATCGTTATGCAGCTTGCACTCGGAAGGAAGACGGGGAGCGCTAATCATCCGGTTTGCCTACTCGTTTTTTTCTTTCAGGGTCGGGCCTGTTTATTCGCGGGAGGAAAGGGCGCGCTGCTGGCAAAAATAAAGGGCAGAAAGCCCCGGATTCGTCGAGGCATGACCAGCGCGTCCACCAGAAGCTCATACATATGTACGCGGCTCGGACCGGACAGTGGCGAGCAACCCTCTTCCTCCTCCTCCTCCTCTTCCTCTCCCTTCTCTGGAATCCATTCCTGTGGGGAGGTCCCTCCGGAAAAATGAATATGCAGTCGCGTGAGAGAGTATTATTTTATAAAATTTACTATCTCGTGCCCGCGCATTATCCACCCTCTTCTACCGACCACTGCCACCGGCCCGGCAGATTCGTCGCAAGTTTTCCACGCTAACATGAAACCGGACCTAGTCTCGAGATGAAATATTTCTTAAAATGAGCGGAACTTTCTATCCAATCGTATATTTCCATCTGAAAATGGACCTTTTGGCTATACAACTTTTTTTAAGCCAAATTTAAATGTTATCATCTCGATGTGATTAAAATCCGTACATTTCTAACGTAAAAAAATCAGATAAAATATATTTATGATAAAATAGTAATAATATATTTATGATAAAATAGTAATATATCCTATATTGAAATGTGTTAATTGTAATTGTTTGTGTGTGCATATTATTACAATTATGTACACTTATTAATTACGTGTATTTAAATAATAAAAAAAATAATAACCACATGAGCATCATACCATAATTGCATTTAGTAATTATGTGGTAAATATTAACGAATGAAAAAATAGCAGTTGATAGCAGTATTTTGTATAATTGCGCAAGTATAATGAATGAATTCACTCACCGATCGTTGTACTCTAGCTAAGTACACTCTCAGTGTTGTACCTGAAAATTTAATATTTATTTCAGTTATTATAAATTAGATATTTTATGTACATTAATTATTATTAGTTATTTTATATGATTTATTTCTAGTGTGATTAAAACATATCTATATGCAATAAACAGTGTGAATAATATTCTGAAAATTGTAATGAATATTTAATGTACTGTAATAAATATTTAAACACACAAAAATATTTTGAAATACGCAACAGGCATATATCTTAAATATTTAACAAATTCTAATTGTATATGTGTTATATATTATATTTAAATAATGAATAAATAATTGTACTCACCAGCTAGGGTATTGCAGTTTACTCCGCATGCTGCAGATTTTCCACCTAAGATTGCTCCGCTTCAGATTTTTTCACATCGTCTCCATTCAATACTAGCACTTGTTTTTACGCGCACTACCGAATAAAAACCAATCCGCACATTTTGCTGTTGAAAATTTAAGTCGTTTAAGTAGTTTTGCTATGTTAAGTAATATAAAAAATGTAGATATGAGATGAAATATCACAACGCGTTTACGCACATAATTAAGCTACATAGCAACCAGAGAATATCTTTCTATATAAAATTGCACCAACTTTAAACAGCTCAAGGCATATGATGCACACAATTGTTTCAATTTCATTGCATCTTTATGGTGGAAAAAATTTTTTATTAGATATACGTATTCAAGTAAGACGAACGATGATTGTCTTGGCGATTATGCGGAGATCGCCAGATATGAACGCGCAAACGAATAACTACGTTTTATATATACATATAACCTAAGTTCGACAAACTTAAAATATTACATTAAATATATTGCATACCATCCATAACGTTGGAATTCATACTCATTGTCAGTGAGACAATGACGATCCACCGGCATCTGCGGATATTCGCGAATATACGCGGTAAATTTCTTTCCGGTAATCGCCTGTCATTTTAGTCAACACTCCCGACACAAAATTTATTCTCACTATGCACTTTTAATGGATAAAATAACGACTACGGAGCATACGTTCTCTACGCTTAGATGAAAGTACCGTAATAACTGTAATGGCAGCGAAAAAAGGTGGAAAATGGATGCAAACAATATTGCCAATGCTCTAAATTAAAAAATATCGTGCCCTTGTGGTCTATTTACATAGATGCTGTCCAACCGCGACGGTGGCGCATGGAGCGCCAATCAACTATCAATATTGAAATACGCAACGGGGTGGGAATAGAACAATCATAGAGGTCGAAAGATGGCGTGCGTAAGTAAAATAGATTGGTAGTATTGCCAATTTCCCGCATTTTTTTCCCAACCGCCATTATAATTTCTAACGGTATGTTGGATGAGACGCAAAACGCGAACGGTCCGCGATCAGTTGTATATTTTATCTGTTAAAAGCGTAAGTGAGTATCAATTTTTATCGGAAGTGTCGATTAACG